TAACCACAGCATTGTACAAGCCAGTGTTCAAACCGTGTGAAAAAAGTAGTGGCTTATAGTCTGGAAATGACTGTACATATAAACTTTCTAATGTCTTCTTATGAACTGATTGTCATAATCAGTGTGCAACAAATGGCTATAACAAAAAAAAAACACTTTTTTTACAAAAAAAACAAAAACAAACTGGCAACATAAAATGTATTGTCCAACCGAAGGACATTTCATGAAGTTTGCTGAGAACACTGGGGGTTAAACAAGCCGCCTTCTGTTGAAAGCTCCTGTCTTAAGAAGAGACCTACTTGCTCAGTGAAACAGATAATATCCAATCTTTCTGCATCTGTCACACTATAACTTTAATTCTCGATGAATTACTCTGGCTGTACCTGATGTCTGCTCCCTTGTAAAAACTGTAACTAATTTTGACATCAGCATGCTGTATCTCTTATTCTTTTCTCCTTTTTTTTTTGTCCCTAATTAAAATAATATGCCTACATCAACATGGAGGCAGCATAACACCAGAGAAAGGTGCCTCCACATTGTTTGCACAGTTTCCTGGTTTGAGATCACACTAGCACTGTAACATTTGCTCCATTGACTCATTTGACTGCACATCTCCTCCCACATCAGTGGGATTAAGTCAAGAAAAATCCTTCTGAAAAAGCTTTTGAGTATTGCAAAACCCAGCCATGTGCTGTTGACAGCCACAAAAAAATAAAATTGTTTGTATTACGTCTCCATTCCTGTGCTTTCTAGGCATGTAAATGGCTGCTTTCTCAGAACTATCTAATGCTTGTTTAGAAATCAGATTTCCAGGCACTTTTTGTCTCTTGCTCCAGTTTTTACACCAATATCAGTCTCTACAGCAGAATCTCATTATCAGCAGGGCTCACAATTTCAGTTTTTTTTTTTCGTTCTCTCCCTTTTTGTTTTGTGTGACACAGTAGATAAAAAGCCACCAAGGTTGCAGTGGTATTATGAGAATCCAGCTCACATGCAGGGAGCATTTGTTGCTCAGAGTGAAAGAATGCCTTCTCTTGAATCCTTTTTTCTGTTTCAGGCTCTTCTTTTTCTTCATATGTGATATCGCTGAGTCAGTGCCAAGTCTCTGTGACTTGCTGAACAGTACGTTGAGCTCAGTTTTGTATATGCCAGCACTTTACTTGATCCCTGAGCTGTTTTAGATGTCTCTTTTTTTTTTATCCAAAACTTCCAGAAATGCTGAAAGCTATTTGTGTGTATCATATTTTTTTAAATAAAAACCAGATCATTTCAAACAAAACAAGTACAATAACAAGAAACACAGACCTTTCATATTAGTAAGGACTAACTTGATAAAACAGGACATGGGAAATGACCATGCGGAGAACAAAACGCCAACTTCTTTTGATGTTCCGTGCTTAGACATTCAAGTGTAAATGTACTGTTCAAATCAACCAAGTAGGGTAACTATTAATGTACTGTTCACAATACTGGTAAAACAATGGTATATTAAAACTAACAATAAGCAGAAATGTTGATAATAATTACATTAAATTATAATGTGCTATCACTGATGAATGTAGAAGTCTTTTGGATGAAAGACGAAACATTTCTTGCAAAAAAAAAAAAAGTCCAGATGACAATATTTAACTTTTTTGTGATTAATAGTGCATTCACATCAGCCCTGTTTAGTCCGCTTTAATCGAACTCTAGCTCGTTTTCCTAGAAAGTCTGGTTTGTTTAGGGAGGTGTGAACGCACCATCAAACTGTGTCACGGAACAAAAAGGAGAACTCTGGCCCGGGCTAAAACCTAGGTCTCGGTCCGGTAGAAACGAACTCCAGCGCGGTTCGAGTACAGTGTGAATGTAAACAGACCGGACCCGCTCCGCAGGGTAAACAAACACACATTTCTCTGACCTTATATGGAGCCGTCAGCTGCCTTGTGTGGAAAAACAATATTCTCCATGGTCTTCTGTCTCATCTTCTGCTCATGCTAAGTCCATTTTTGAAAAATGACAAAATATAACTGCTAAAACATGATGCCACTTTATTTTTATTTTTATTTACAGAAGAAGAAGACGTGTCTTCAGAGGTTTTTGTGTCGTTTCTTTCAGTAGTTCTTGGTGCAGCGCCCCCACAGGCGAGCGGGGGAATAGGTTGGTTCAACAGGTTGACTCGACTGCACAGTGCAGTGTGAATGCAAACGCACCAGCTCAAATGTAAACAAAAAGTCATGAATATTGGTCCCGAACCGAACCGAGTCTACCGGACTATCTGGTGTGAAAACGACCTTATTTACCTATATGATGGGAGTCTACTTACTGTTTTGCCCATCAACTTGTATGCCAACGATTTAAACACTAATATTATGTGATCTGTTAGAGCTTGGAATGTGTGTTGGAGTTGTTGATTTTCAGCTACTATAAAAAAAAACAAAAAACTTTAGCTCTATATATGTACATTTGACTAAGTTATTGCCAGTTTTTGTATTGGCAAAGATTGATTGACCTTCTTGAATTGGGTTGACTGCAAAAGTTATTGGGTAGATGTACAGCCAATGATTATAGTTATAACAGGTAATACCAAAGTTTTGAGCACTTGAAGCATGTGTTAGGGAGGACTCGGATACTGCCGCACCAATGTTTAGGACAGTGCCTGTAAAAATGACTTGTAGGGATTTGTTCTGCTTGCTAACGTCAATTAGATCTTGAGTTTGTTTGGTTTTAAACCTAAATCAGTTGTAGATGTGCATCTAAATTATGTTTTCTGAGACTTTCTATAAAATGTGTGTTCTTGTTCTTGAGATATTTTGCTAACAGACATAATTGCACACATACACACTGACAATGGCACGATCACCCACTCCTGTGAAATTTGGTTTATCATTAGACAGTAAGATATTTAGAATTGTACATGTTTATTGTATTTTATTACAGTATTAATAATTACAGTAAGTAGCACAAAGGCACATGATATCCACCAATAATTTGATGATACTGGTCAAGTTGCTTCAATGGTTTTAAAGCAGTGGTGTCCTGATACAGATACTGGTGTCAGGCCTGATACCAGTATCAAGTATTTGTACTTGTACTCATAAAAATGACCCAATACTTTGGACTGATACCACTGTTTTGCTTTATTTTCCTCTTCCACTTTGCAAGTAACCCAAGGACAAAATTTTACAAAGGGCAGTAGTTTGGAGATATATGAAGATTAAAAACAGGGGATGTCAGTTCAGCAGACTTTTTGCTATGTTCCATATAAAAGAGATGTATTTCTAAAGTCATTGTGTAATGTTTAAGTACTAACTCATTAACTACTTGGTATCAGTACTCAGAATCAGCAAGTACCCAAACTTGTACTTTTACTCAGTGTGAAAACTAGTATAAGGACAGTCCTATTTAAAAGTGCTGTGAGCTTAGTGATAAAGGATATAATGAGAAGTACACAACAGTTGGGTTTTTCATACATGAAAATCTGAAATTCAACAATTATATTGCAAGCTCATGTAAATTTGTGGGTTTATTTATTTATTTATTTGTTTTTTTTGGGGGGGGGGGTAATGTTGTTCAGGCTATATATTAATTATGTAAAGTAATTTAATTCACAAGAATCACTGACCAAAAATAATTGTGGCCTGAGGACAACTCATATCCTGTGTCTTGTGAGTAAATTATCTAGACAAAAAACAATGCATCACGTGAGATATTCCATAAAGTACGCTGAAATGTACTATGTACACCTATCTTTAGGTGTTTTATTAGCTGCCATGAAGTAACAGCTTCAATCACTCAACATTTTTTTTGTGTTATCTCTGTAGTCTTTTTAGACTTAATAAAATGTTTAACAGTTATTGTTACTGTATAATAAGTGATTTATCATTGTCTATGCAGTGTTAGTAAAGTTGTGAAAGATGTACATAAATTGTCACTGTTTCAGGTGATGCAGTTTATATATAACCAGCAATGTGGACTTCAAAAAATATTCAGTTTACAGTTAAGACAAAGAAAAGTCCTCGCGTTGAGAAACAGACTGCGGATCACTTGATAAATGATTGGCTTGATTAATTGACTTCAGAAATAGTAGCCAATTAACTCTCTATCCATCAATGTATCAACTTATTCGTGGTAGCTTTAATGTAATATACGAGCGTACGCTGAACACTGATAAAGGTAAACTTCATTTGCATTCTTTTGTTCTGGGTGAAACTGTGCCACAGCCACTCTTTGGTTTCCAGCTTTTGTTGCTCTGGCTTTGAACTAGCAAATGTGCATTGCATCTCTGTCACCATTTGTGTGCATGTCTAAATGGGTGAATGAAAAACATATTGAATCGTACTTTGTAGAAGCTGAGGTTAAAACGCACAACGCAAGTATAAACCATTCCAATTCTACTCTCACGCGTGTTTATGTCTCATGATTTGAACCAAATTATCCTGCACACCATTGTGTATGTAAGTGTTTTCTCATTTAAATCCTAATAGCACTGAATGTGCAGTGTGAGCTTGAGTCTATCAGCCGTAACAACGTCAGTATATTTTAATTTTCTGTTCATTACAGCATTGAGTGCACATGTTGGTGTGGATCTGCAGTTTTAAAATGCACCATCCTCCAGATGGGATACTAGTCTTAATGCTTTGTTGCTCACACCGTCAAGTAAAGCACTAATGTGCACCGAGCCATCAAATATGTCTGCTTTTCAGGAGGTAGCTCCAATTACATGTTTTGAAAGGAACAAATAATGAGTGGCTGAGTGGGAATACACTATTATTTCCTGTTGCCATATCAATAAAAATAGATCAATGTACTTCTGATGCAATGCTATTTTAGAATGCAGTGAAGGTAATCAGGAACTCAATATGATGTCTAATTGCAATGCATCTCCTACTCAGACTTAAAGCTGTTGTTCACAAATGAGATATTTCCACTCCCTTACCATGAACCGCAGAAAACCTTGATATATAAATTGTTTTCTGTGTAGACACATTGTAAGCACTTTCCTTCTATTTCGCTATTTCCAGCCAAGAAGTATGACAGCGGCGAATATCTTAACATCACCAGCATCACAAGGGATCAGGCTGGAGACTACGAATGCAGCGCTTTAAATGACATCGCCTCTCCTGACACCAAAACAGTAAAAGTCACAGTCAACTGTAAGTATCTATCTCTCTTTTCTTCTTTTTTTGGGTACCCTGGCCTTGCAGATACATGGAAGACGCAGGGACAGCTTGAGATGACGCCTTTGTCATATTCTTGCCAGTGCACTTCAAAAAAGTGCACCTTCTAGAAGTTTGAGAAAGTAGAAACACGGAAGTTGAAGTTTCTTAATGTTTAATATGAGAATTTCCTTTTTGTCTGCGCATGTAGGTGATTAATTCATGCAAAAGAAAGGTCTGACTGTTCCAAGCACTATTCCATTATGCAGGTAATGAGTCTTTCAAAAGTGTGAGGAGACAGTAATGAGGAGCTGGGGCATTAATGAATGATACTGGGCCTTAACTGTCGTGGTCTCATGGAATTCACCACTGGTAAGAAGGAGCAAAAAGGAGGTTTGACAATTATGGACAAGTCTTCTCTCTTTAGACGTGATCCTTTACCCTGCAGTTATTCTTGTAGGTTTCTGCATGGATTCCCTGCGCTCAGTCTCTGTTTTGACATGTCAGACTGCCGGATACTGAACTAAAAGGGTGGATGGATGATCTGAGCCACTGAAATGTAGCCTGAGAATCTAATTGAGGGAGTTTTGTAGGTTAACCATGGCTTAATTTGTAAACTGAAAAAAATGCCGTAACGCAAATAGTGGGTGGGCCAGTGGGGGAGGGAGGGTCCGCGGGTGGGGTCCCCCCCCCCCCCAGAAAATTTTGAATAAAGTAGATTAGATACAATTTCCTGCATTTTGGTGTATTTTAATGGGGTGTTAAACATCTACATTTACCTAAATTTGTAAACACTTTGCCTCTGTCGAGCACCCCCCAACCATTACTTGATTGTTCTAAGCCCGACACTGTCCCTGCTCATTGTTGGCCCACTCCACATGTGAAACCTCCAGGTGCCTGCCTGTGCCTATTATTGATTATGACATATACAGCGAAGCAACATATTTATGGATTTGTCCACTTTATTAGACATATTTGGACTTATTCGACTTGCTTCGTTTATGGTGGAAAATACGGTAATTGTTTAATTTCATACTTTGTTTCAATGAAAGTGCTTTGACAACAGGCAGCCTCTTTATGTAACAGAACAAAGGAGATATTCTCGGTGACTGGTAAAACATGTCCAGCCACACACTAAATTTTAGGGGGGGTGGGGTTAAGTGTGGCTTCTAAACCAAGCAAACTGATTGACTATATATTCCTTTTCTGTTGGACAGTCACCACAACTTGAGCACCAAAGTGGGAGTGTGCTATAGTCAGTCAAGTCCTGAGGCTGTATTTACTTGCTGGCTTGAGTTGTCTGAGCCTTACAATGCTGCAGAGCTGTCTCCATTATTTGTACTTCGTTATTGATCTGTCCCCCCAAAGGAGAACGATAAAGATGTCCTTTGGTGACTGCTTTAAAACTATTTTATAAATTGGCTTCTAAAAACACTTTGTTTTTCTATGTACAGTTTATTTTTCCTAGCATCCCTTTTGTAACTCGGCTTCAATGCAACACATCACGCTTTCTTTTTTAAAAGCCAATATACATTATGTAGAAACAAACCATAGTGTTTTCAAAAGCCGCAGTCAGTTGCCAAGCAGTTGTTGTGGAATGGACCCAAATGCAGGTGATTCCTAAACTGGAATAAAATCAAAAGAGTAAAGCCTAAAAGACAAACCTCAGAGACATCTTCCCCAACCCTTACCCTAATTTTATGGAGCCTTACTTTGGCTTTTGTTTTGTTTGTTACCACATCCAAAACAGAGTTATTTGGTTTGTCTAGAATGATTATCACTGAACATAATATATCGTTTATGGTTTAGTGAGCTATAGCCATGAAATATTTCCAGCCATGAATTCTCCTGTGCAGGAGTTCTGAGAATTGCACGCAGTATTTCATTTCAGAATTTATTTTTAACCTTGTTTTATATGCATGCATTAGTCATTTGTGACTCCGTTTGTTTATTGTGATAAATATTTCATTTTTTTTGTTTTTATCTGCTGCTTGAGCTACGGCCAGCCTTGACTCGGAAGAGCAAGACTTTTCTTGCTTTACGAGCACCTCGCTCGTGAACGGCCCTGTGTTTTATTGCAGCTGTTTAGCATTCAGAGTGCTGTGCAACCATTAAACCTGAATAAACAAAACATTTAGCCGACATTAAAGAGGAGCAGCTTTGGTATTTGCTTGCCTTAAAGGGAAGTGAAAGGTAGCTCAGCTGTGTGAGCAGCCCGATCAGTGTGTCAGCTTTCAAAACCATTTTCAGTGTACAGCCTTGTTTTTAATTCTCAGCAGTTCCCTTATCCCTCTTTCTGCACAGTAACTAGTGACTCGTGTGCTCATTTTCAAAGCGAAGAGGCTCGAATCAATAAAGTTGTCCACCGGAGCGACAGAGCAGGCAGAGCTTGAGCCAGCTGGTGGCCTCTCTTCACTGCCTCCTTTCCATCTTGATGAATTTCTCCCTCTGTGAAGTAAAAAGAGACACATTTGGATCACATCCTAATCTATTGTACATCATTCATGCTCTGCTGTCACACTTCAGGCTACATTCATGAGGCAAAACACTGGTGGCTTGATGAAAGCCAAGTTCTCCCAAGTTCTGAAACACGGAGGTGTATTTTATTGAAGGTCGAACAAGAGGAGGATGATTACACAGCAAGTGCAAGAAAATTATTTTAGGAAAGCCACGTTATCTGTTTGGCTCAAAGAATTAGGCTCTCGGCTTTTTAAACTTTTCTCTGGAGAGTTGTAACAGAGTTAACTCCCGTCTTTTTTTTTTTTAACAATGTGCCATTTAAAAATGTTCTTTTTACAATGTCATGCTTTTATATTTTATTTACCGTACTTAGGTGATGTAAAAAAATAAAAATAAAATAAATGTGCAAATTCTGGTTATTGCATTATCATTGATCTGTTGTTTTCTTGCTAATAGCAGTTCAATGAAATTAAGTCATAAAGATTAATTTGTTGTGCCTGCACTATTTCTCTTTTATCGCTCTATTAAGACAGCAGAGAACTGAGTGGCTCTGACATTTCATGGGTTAATGGTTTAATTAAACATGGACACGTTTGTTCAGAACAATGTTTCTTTTCTTTCTTTTTTTTTAAATTAAGAGTACAGTTGACCTCTGGGCTAATTGCAGATTAAGGCCACTAATTAAACAAAGTAAAGCAAAGTATTGGAAACAAAATGAAGCTCTAGCATGTTTGCAGTTTTAATAACACGAGGGCAGCCGAGCCAGACGTTTGTCTTGCTGTGATATGGTGAGTTGGAGACAGACGGTTCGAGGTAGTGTCACTGTGCAAAGTATTAAGTCCAGTGCTCGTTACCTCAGCTTGGATGTCTCTAAAGCTCGAAAGACCTCTTTGATTAAATTACTGGCCGAGTGGGCTGCTTGCCTTTATACTTCCAGTGATAAATGAATGCAAACCAAATACTTTTATCAGCTAAACCTGAATGATGGCAGTCATCCAGAAGGTCGCACTAGAATCAGATTGGCTGAGGGGCCCCCGCTTGGCAAACGGATATTTCAGCTGTGATTTCACTCGATAAAATTTGATCTCGGACCTACTTTTCAAATTTACATATTCATCTTCACTGCAGGTGGGCACTGTTATTGGCTGAAACCTTGCTACACAGTGAGACTCAAAAGCATAAATATCACATCGAGGTGGCTAAGTCGATGGGATGAATAAGACAGAAACCACTGTGGAACACCTCCACCTGAGATGAAAAGCCAGAGTTTCATTAATGATTGAGGCCAGCTAGTTTACAGAACGAAGGTATTTAACTCTAACGGAGCAGATACGACAATTACAGCAATCTGTTCCTGTTTCAAGACAAGAAATCAAAGGTGTCCGACACTGCTTTACAAGATCCAAACAGATTTGTCTTCTGTTCAACAGCACCATGCTGTAAGTAGATTTAACAGTTTGCACAAATTCTAGTCAGACTGAAAGAAACAGATTAACTTTGACAAGTTTTATATCCTTCTTGTTATTTCATGTGTTGTTTTGAAGCCACACCAAATGTTCTGATCATCGTTATATACAACCATAAAGCTATTTTGTTAGTTTTAAGGAAATGAAAGAGGACAGATTTGTTGAACTTGTGTTAACTCAGAGATGTTGAAGTTATTGTTTCCATTGATCCAAGAGCTTTTTTTTTTTTTTATAAATAGCGTGGGCAGCACGGTGGCGCAACTGGTAGAGCTGCTGCCTCTCAGCGAGCAGGTCCTTGGTTCAAACCCCGGTCCAGGGGCCTTTCTGGGTAGAGTTTGCATGTTCTCTCCGTGCATGCGTGGGTTTTCTCCGGGTGCTCCGGTTTCCTCCCACAGACCAAAAACATGCATGTTAGGCAGATTGGTAACTCTAAATTGTCTCTAGGTGTGAGTGAGAGAGTGAATGGTTGTTTGTCTCGTTTGTCTCTATGTGTCCCTGTGATGGACTTGCGACCCGTCCAGGGTGTACCCCGCCCCTCGCACAGTGACTGCTGGACATGGGCACCAGCGACCCCCTTGACCCAAAATGGAATAAGCGGGTAAAGATAATGGATGGATGGAAATATTTCCATTGCAATATAGAGACTAATTAAAGAAAAAATATTTAATAAAATTGAGTGTTATGAGGGGGTCCCTGAAACTTTTTCTCCCCTGTAAGGGATCCCCGAACCAAAAGGTTTAAGAACCCCTGTTTTAAGGAGTCTTTTGTATTTATTTATTTATTTTCAGGTTTCTAGCAACTGTACTTAAAAATAGTTTTGCCTCTTTTACAAGTGGTCTAAAAGTGTAGATGTCTATAGTTTCATAAAATATGCACAAATACAGAAATATGATTTTGCATTCTTTTTATAAGGCTGCATGAAGCTGTGCATATATGAATCTCATTTAAGAATCTCAGTCATTGTAAACATTGTGGACAACTCTTGCTTCTCCATTTTCCTCTGAAGGATTTTTCATTTTTAAAGTTGGTTCTGAAATATTAACCCTTAAAGCATGAAATTATCATATGGCT